GGGGGCCTTCAATTTTTTTTGGATGGAATATGTAGGGCCTTTAAATGCCAAAAGATGACCTTGGGGGGGTCTTCAAGTTTCTTTTAAGTAGCATCCCTACTGAGCAGCATGATGCTTGAGTATTAAAGGACCTGATTTTGATTCAGTTTTACACAAAGTCCTATATTGTATAATACTAAAACAATTTAATCAGCATTTCGACAAAAAGATTTAATGCTCAAATAGTAGGTGCATCAACACAACATCCATTATTGTGTAACACTGAAACAATTTCATCGGCATTTTAACAAATGATTACATGCATTAAGTCATGTTATGCAATCTCACTATCCGAATTATTATTTGTAGATGAGGTTGATGTGGACTCACTGTCTGTGTCACTGTCAAGTTTTTTGCTATTAGAGCATGTACTGCTCATATAAAAAGCAGTAAGCTTTGGCTGATTATCTTCTTTCTTCCTTGAAGCAGTCATGTCGGCCTCTAACCTTTCGATGGCTTGTCTTATCTCAATTATAACACAATCACTGATATATCCTTGCTCTATTAGCTGTTTAAGAGGCTTTAGGTGAAATCTCTTTCTCAGTTTAGTGTGAAGTGCTTCTCTGTTGTTAGTTGGCACATTCGGAAGTGACAGTAACATCATAACATCATAATAACAAAATACAATACATGGTAAATAACTAAAAGGTAATATTTAGTATAAAAATAAAGTGCTCCAACAAATAAGAAAGACCAAACTAAAAAAGAATTAAAACAACCTCAATCAGATAATAAAAGTGATCACACTGTCCATGAATAGAACAAAATAAAACCCTACAGGGAGGGAGGGAGGGAAATGATTGCTAGTGCAATAAAAGTGAATGTTGCTACTGCAATGCCAGGTGAAAATGTGACTAAACTAGAATTGTATCTGTCTGTAACCCCTATTACAGTCGTGGTATTCCTATCTACCGTAAAACTACTGTATCCTAGGTAGTAGACACATGGTATTATGAAATCTCTCATACCAAAAAACTACTGTGATGCTGTACTAGCCCTGCATCCCAATGTGACACCTTCCTTTGAGATTTAGAACCGCATCAGTCATCTCAACTGATGCACCCCCTTAATAACAATAATTTAAAGGAACAATTTTTTAAAAAAAAAATATAGAGATATAAATATATATAATATTTTCTTGTCTTGTGAAAAACCAGTCTATTAAATATTTTGACACAAACAATAGTAAAGTCTGCACATCTATTTCATTTGTCAAAGCTGTTTTTCAAAATACAATTGTCAAATTATGTTTACGTCCTCTCAGTGACTATTTAACAGCTATTAGAACACGAATACGTCCACTTGCATTATTTTCATCCGCCACGAGGTTTCGCAATTTGCAATAAGCAAAGACAGAAGTTCGTTAATGACTGCTTACGACTCTTCGCCAGTGCAATTTCTCCAATTTTTGTTTATTTCTTCGACCTTCGCATATTTCCAACATGTGTGACGATTCAATATACTGGAAATTTATATACAGCTAGCAGAATAATTAGCATTAAGATTATCATTATCAATCCTTCGATCGAAATTAGATTTTAGCGCGTATGGTATTGCGCCCGAAGTGGAATAGAACAGACTTCTCCAGGTCGAAGCTGTGCTCGCAGAAATTACTCCAAACAGGACTTCTTAAAACTTTTCCACTTAAAATGTATCGCGATATTCAAATTCCCTATTCTTCCAATTCGATCGGCGTCGTCGAGTTGTTTCTGGTCTCTTGAAATATTATCAGAAATCCACGGGTGTTTACAGAAAGCGTTCTCGATCATTAACATCTCGATATTCGTAAATCGAACGCTATGACGCATAAAATAATCTCGATTAATCGGCTCCGTATTGCTGTTACTTTTCTTCAAGGTACATTCCACCCAAAGCACTCGACANTCGCGATATTCAAATTCCCTATTCTTCCAATTCGATCGGCGTCGTCGAGTTGTTTCTGGTCTCTTGAAATATTATCAGAAATCCACGGGTGTTTACAGAAAGCGTTCTCGATCATTAACATCTCGATATTCGTAAATCGAACGCTATGACGCATAAAATAATCTCGATTAATCGGCTCCGTATTGCTGTTACTTTTCTTCAAGGTACATTCCACCCAAAGCACTCGACAGCTATTTGCGTCACTTGATTCCATCCACCAAACTGACATCCTCCTCTCACAAGACATTTCACTTTTCTTATATGAAATTTCTTGATGAAATGTTCATAAAAGTCATTGTCTTCAATTTTTAAGGAAAAAAACAATTCAGGATAGAATGAGTAGGATTCGAACTCGGAGCATCCGATCTGGAGTGCATCACTCTAACCCCTACATCACCGAGGATTTGGTGACGAATATTAGTTTGATTTACATATATAACCCTAACCCTAACCCTAACTTTAACCCTAACCCTAACCCTACTTTGTGTACGAATCATTAATGTGTCAACGTCAGTTTGGCGGATGGAATTAAGTGTAGGCCTATTTGCTTCGAAGTTTCCCTGTTCGACATTTCTGTCGAGCTTAGTCCTTTCGCGGTCAAGTCAATGTTTTGATTGAGCTCTGAGCCAATCAGATTGCAGGAATTACATATCCAGATCTGGTTGTGGCCCGAACTGTTATAATCCTTTCAATATACATGGCGCAAGACGTCTGGGGTGTTGATATGATCTATAACAACTGTTATCACTAGCAATATTTTTTAGTTAAATATCTTCTTTCACATCTTATTTACGTACAGCTAAATTTGGAAGGTTTTATTATTCATTCAGCATGCAACGGTTTTGATATCGTTCCAGCCACGAACGACTCGTCTCTCCCATTTGGCCTTCGTGAGCAACCAAACATCATAAGATTGCACTAATTTCTTTGTCACGATTTCTTCAGAATTTGAAGGAAAATTAGCCCTACATTTGTGTTTTTCTCACAAGGAAGTTATTTCTTATAACAAGGAAATCTTACAGATAATCAGTTCCGATCAGTAAATTCTAGGAATCTATCGCAGTTAACAGAGTTGATTATGAAGACTTTTGAACGAAAAGCCTCATTTGTCATATGTGCGAAGGAAAATTGCCGCCAAGCCTTTGAAGTCACCGAAACTCGAACTTCTAAACTTGTCAATCTTGCTTTCTCTCGTCAAACTGGCATTCAGAGTGCGAGCATCCGTTTCAGATTGATAAACCGATGGTCAAAACCGATGAGCCCGCTGTACAAATGCACGGCTATTAAGCCTGTATCCAAGCAACAAGCAGCACATGCTCGATCTTTGTTAACTGATTGATGCAGAGACGGTCTTGCTCGAGTATGCCAAAGCAAAGTGGGCTTTGCTGGCAGAGTGTGAACACAAAATTATACTCTCATGATGTGAAACTCATAAAAACTTCTATCCAATAAGAACTTGCGTCTCACACCACCTGTGAATCTTGATCTTAAGTCCTTTCCCACATGATTTTATATATTCTCTCAGGGTCTAAAGGTTCTTGTTTTCTATCCTAATGCGCGGCAATTTTTCTAAATTTCAATTCGCTTTGAGTCCAAGTGTCACAAATTTATCAGTCTTAACTCAAGCCTTTCACACTCATTCATAAAAGACCTACATGCTACAAGAACGAGTTACGCACGTCAAGTGGTAGGCTTTAGTTTACTTTGTTATTTCCTTTAAAACACAGCGCCAACAAAGTCTTTTAAACTCTTTCTTTATGTCTCTTTTAAAAAAGGCATAAGCCAGCGGGTTAACGGCCGAGTTTAAAACCAAGACGGGATTTTTGTAGTTTTCATCATTGCATGGCGATGAGGTTATCGTAGTGCTAGTCTGGAATAGTATTAGAAAACTACAACGCAGATACATCCCATAGCAAACAAGAAACACTCCTATCACAAGACCCATCATTATTACTGCAGGCTTTTCGTGATGGGTTTTAAATGACACCTGATGGTTAAAGCGTAACTGTTTTGCTACGATGCGTGCAGAACGATCATGCTTGCGTACGTGAAATATCATTGATACGAAGCAGAATATTAATACGACACATGGAAGAAACTCGCAGAAAATTAGATATAGCCATGTAAAAGGGACACGGATTGTTTTGAAAAAATACTCCAAAAGGATAACTTTCAGCGCATTAAAACCAACTGTTAAAACCCAAGAGAAGACAATAGCTTGGGTAGTTCGACGGCGAGTCATAAAAGTAATGTATTCTAAAGGATGAACGATGGCAATAAAACGATCCAGCACTAAGACGCATAAGTTTACCACAGACGCGTTACTAAACAAACATCTTGTAAAATCCACCCAAGACAGCAACCGCCGACGTTCAGGCCAGTCGCAGGTGTTTGTAATGTCGCAAAAAAACATTGATGGAATAACGATCAAACCAACGCAGAAATCCGCTACTGCAAGTGAAACAATAAACGCGTTGGTTTTGGTGCGAAGATTTCGTCTGCTGCAAACGAGGAAGATTGTAAATCCATTTCCAAGGATGGTTAGAAATGAAAGGAACCAGCCAAGAATCCAAAACCAGGTCTCCATCTTAACAGTTAAAGGAAGTTCTTATCAACTGTAGAATATAACCAACATCTTGCATAAATATCAGGAACACATGTCAGCTGGTTACTACGAGGCGTTTTTACATGACGTCACGGCGGCCATATTGGTGTTCCAAAACAATGAAACCGCGGCCTTGTTGGCGTGCCAACCAATCCTGTGGGAGTTGACTTAACTCTTCTTCTCTGTAAACGCTCTCTTTTGTTCCAATAAATTTACATAGGTGCTGGCCACGTGAGTGAAAACACTCTATTTGTTCTTTAAATCGTCTTTATTTGTAATAATTTGCTAATTAATGTCGTAATAATTTGTCTTGCGCTGTGCTATAACAAAAATTTGCATCAGGACGATAATATATTAAACACCTAACGTTTCTTTGTGTGTTTGATAATAAAATAAGTACAAAATGTTTCCGGTTTTCCCCTCTCCTTAAAAACCAACACTTCCAAATTCTAGTTCGATCTGGAACGCACGAACACGTTTAAACGAGTTCATAAGAACTGCTAAGTGCTTCGTGGGTAAACAGATTACAATTTACAATTTGCAAATTTAAAGAACAATATTCACAAATACCAGCGAGAAGGTGCCTGAATTGGAGTTTAAAACAATAGACACAGTTGTACACAGGTCTTCTTCTGACTGGAATTTGCGAATATATTTACCTTAGCTCAAGGCTTCAGGGCGGAAAAACGTACTGAGCATGCCTGAACTTTTTGCCCAGATCCCCTGGCCGGGTTTGAAAAAATGGCGGGATTTCAAATATTTTATGGCCTAAAAATAGTATGTTTCCACTCATAACCTGGAAAGACCAGGCAATTTGTCTTCAAAAGTTGCAAGCTGTGGTTATAACCTTGTCGTTACTTAATTTTCTCGAAGAATACCTCATAGTAAAACGGACTT